GGGGTTCTGAGAGCGTAAGGGCCCTTCCACAGAGCCAAATAACTCAGAATATCAAGGCAGATAATCCACAATATCTTATTTGAATTGGATTATCTGGGTCCACACTGCCATATAATCCCGTTTAATGTGGATTTTATTCATCTGTGTGGAAGAAGCCTTTGAGACATTAAGCAATTCACACTCTCTTAGTCTAAGGAGAAGGCAATGGCAAATGCTCTATGAACAAATATTGCTTAGAAAACTTTATGAAATGATCACTGTAAATTGTAGTTGTCTTGAAGGTAAACAATAACAACAACAGGAAATTCTTATACAGTATATACAATAAAAGCCCATTTGTAATTATCTTGTTCACTTGTCTTGGAAAGGCCAACAAGGCGGTTGGCCCTTTTGAGGTGTGTAGAAGTGAAATGCTGAAGCAGCCACTGCCATATAATCCAGAATATCAAAGCAGATCGTCCACATTATCTGCTTTGTATTGGATTATATGAGTCTACTTGCCATATAATCTTATTCAAATCAGATAATCTGGATTTTATATGGCAGTGTAGAAAGGCCTATGAAAGGAGCAGCCACCATACTGTCCAGGTGTGTCAGGAACAGTCCTGATTCAATGTTTATCATCTCATTTTACTTCTGTTTTTAAAATATTCCAGGTTTCCCTTCTCCTAGTTTCCCGCTTGGTCCTCAGTTTATTTCAGCCAATCCAATTTTAGTGGTAGTGGTAGTGTGGACTCAGATAACCCAGTTCAAAGCAGTTATATGTCTGTGTGGAAGGGCCCTTAGGTCCCTTCTACACTGCCATATTAAATCCAGATTATCTGTTTTGAACTGGATTATATGGCAGTGTAGACCTTTCTACGCTGCCCTATATCCCAGAATCTGATCCCAGATTATCTGCTTTGAGCTGGATGATATGAGTCTACACTGCTGTATAATCTGAGATAAATAGATAATTTTATTATAAGGAGGATCAGATCCTGGAATATAGGGCAATGTAGAAGGGGTCTCATATAGTCCAATTCAAAGTAGATAATGTGGATTATCTGATTTGATAATCTGGATTATTTGGCAGTGCAGAAGGAACCTTAGTTCAAGGTGCAAAAACAGCTTGGGTTCAATTTAACAAGGGATAAGACTAGAAGCTTCATCATACCTTCAGTGGTGGTGCTCCAGCTCACCGCTGGGTGTCAGGAAGCCACCACCACACACCCCGCTTCGCCGGGTTCCTCCGGCAGCTCTTCACACAGGGGAAGCATGGGGTGTGTGTGGAGGGCACAGCTTCCCCCACAGAAGGAATGGCAACACAGGAAGCCTTCCATGTTGCCAGGGTGGTGGCGGCAGCATGCCAGTTCTGCCTTCCTTCACCCACAGAGCCGGCATGATGTTGTGTGATCAGAGCTGGTTGGCTCCATGGGTGACTGGGGTTAGATCGGCATTGGCTGCCAAATCTAGCCCCATATGATGAAGTCTTAGGAAAAGCCAAATCTTACCTTGTCCTACTGCAATTATACCTAGCTTGTGTGTTATCGTTCATTAATAACTTTTGCCATCTTGATCACTCTCTGGTTTTGCTTGACTTTACACTGGTTTTTATTTGTGAAATATTGAAAGAAGTTCACCACTGGAGTAGGATACATTCACATGTACTTCTCTGGCAAAGAGTGTTGGTACCTCCCCAAGCTTCAAATCCCCAGATTCCATATCATTGAGACATGCCAGTTCAAGTGATGTCAAATTACATTAATTCTACAGTGCAGATACACCCACCATCACACTATTAAGAGAATGAGATAAGAATGGCCTCAGTGCTGCTCAATACATGAGTTATCCCATTCAAGTGTATTTTTCCTCCTTTATTAGTGAGATATTTCTGCTTTCCGCAATTTGTGTCCCAAAGATAGGGAGAAATTTCACTATGCTTTTGACAGAAGTTCTTCTCAAGCTGCTCCAGAGTTAATGGCAAAAAGAATAGACTGCACTTGAATCTGTTAGGCATTTGACATTTGGATCATTTATTAATTTAATTTGGTATTCATTTTCCCTTGAACTTCTTTCTCTGAAAATGCCTGCAGGACAAGATGCAAAAGTGGAAAGGACTAAATGTTACTTGGGTTTTTATTTTATGATCTGTCTGATGAAAACAATTTTCCATGAAAACCAGAAAAGCTTCCGTTTATACATTCACATTTAATGAGCCAATAAAGTTAAGCACAATTTGATTATTAGTGGCAAATCATGGATGGTAGAACTGTCAGAAGGATACTTTGATTGATGATATCAATAAACCCACTGAGAGATCTTAGAGAACCCTATTACAAAATAATTTTGACCAGTGTGTTTAAAGGTGGTTCTGTCCAAAGTGAGATCTGAAGCTAGGTTTGATTTGAGCAATCCGTTTCATCCAAAAAAACAAAAAAAAACAGTCTCCAATTGAGACGCTTTTTCTTATATCTTGCCCAAGAATGGCTAATTGGACAACAATTTGGGGGTGGGGGTGGGAAAGAGCTGCCTTATCACCGCATCCCTCCAAATAGTAAGAGATGACCATGACCAACAGTCCACATTATTTAGGAATACTTGCTGGTAGATGGATCTCCTTCTCCCCATGTAGCTGATGCCCATAAAGTAATTTGTAGGTGTGAAAAGAATTATGATCATGACATTAGTGTCACAATTATGACTAAGTAGTGATGATGAATTTAGGATAATTACATAAATGTAGTCATCTATATTGGTTCTGTATTCACAATGGTTCTGTATTCACAATCACTACTTACACATGATTGTGACACTATTGCCACAATTGTTACTCTCCCCCACTCCATCTATTTTAGCAGGCATGATGCTTCCATTAGGCTGCAGAAGGGGGGAAGAAATGGTTACATAGTTAACACATGATACATTCATCTTTAGGTCATCATATGTTGGAAATGGCTTAAGGCACTCAACAACAACAAATTATTCTTCATCAAGGACTAATAGCTCAAACTTCAGGAAAATCTCCAGGTTCAAAAGTCTCTAAGAGCAGTCCATCAGGTTCTGTCTACCAGCCTTACAATGGTTACAAGCAATATGAAGGTCAAAATCCATATGGTCATGCTTATGATGCCATTCTTAGTAGCCACATATCAATTTCACCAAATCTATCTAATGCCACAGATGTTAGACCAAATATAAATTGAAGACATTCTCACCAGACATGGAAGCAATGAAATTTTGAGCTGCCAGCAACAAGGTTGTTTTAGCATATATATCAAAGTCCCCATATATCACTAGCCTTTTGGCCTCAATATCCTGAAGTCAAGTAAGAAGACTACTGAGCCCAAGGGATCATTGATACACATTTAAAATTCTAATTCTTGATCAGATTCCCAAGACCATGCAGTTCTTTAGAGTTAGGGTACCACACAACAATGGGCACCTATATATCCATGACTATGAGAACCATTCACTGCAAAACAAAATTCGGGTTTGATATTGCACCAGAAAGTTCTTTTGGAGAAATATGGAAGCCTAAGCTAAATTTGCAATTGTATATGATTATATATATGTGTGCCTGGTTCTATGTATGTTATATAAACTTGTTAAAAAGCATAAAATAAATCCCCAATAAGTCAAACATGCATAATATATAAAGAAGATGGTGGAATGTCTTAGCTTTCCATTTCATCGTTTTTCAAAAAACAAAAACAAAAAACGATTAAGATGAATAATGAAGGCAGTCATCTCTAATCCTCAGTTTGGCCATTCATAATGCTATCATAGCACTAGATGTCTTCAACAGATATGCCATGAAATGGTTTAACTAGAATTTTCAGATCGAGTTAATCTAAGGATGGATTGAAAGAGATATGGGAAAGTACTCGGGGGACAAACAGATGGTACATTTAATAGATTTTGGCTAATACCTTTGAACTTCTTAGCCAGCCCATGTCTTCTTCTAGTTGTGCTCTGGCATCATGTTTCCAGGGTTAGACTGTCTGTTTTTCTAATTTAAGAAGGGAGAGAAATTTACCAAATCATTTGAAGTCAGGTTGCTTTGAAACCTCAGCTGCTCACTTCATTTTTTGTTTTTCCTAATTGGGGTTGGGAAAGTTCAGAGTACAGCTGCAGGGCTGACTAGCTCTAGGATGAAGTAGAAGCTGGAATCTGTGTACAAAGCTTGGACGGCAAGCTTAAAAATATGACTCCATCAGAGGATAAGCTTCTTCTAATCTAAGGCATTCAAAGAGGTCCCTTCTCATTTACTCGAGGTAGTGTGGTTATTTCACAGTTGCTCAAGAGGAGTAATACCATTCCCAATTCAATATAGTTACTTTAATTAATTTTTGAGTGTTGGGACGATTAATGCAAAATTCCAAGTTTTGCAACCCTGACATTTTGAGCCATTGCAACACCTTCTTTACTATAGTCAAGTTCATATTTTTCTTGGCAGGGAAAACCATAGGAATGCAATATTCTGTTGCTAGGAGTCTTTGGCTAATACCCATGGAGTTGAACAAACTGGAAGACTGTGGTCCCAGCTTTAATAGGATACAATATATATAATAATAATCAGAATTTGGAAAGTCTACTTTTTTTTGGTCATAACTCCTAGAATTTCCCAAAGGTAATGTTTTCAGTATATATACTTGATATATCTGTCATGTTAGTCCTACATTTTAATGAAAACATGAGGACAATGATTTTCAGTGACATGACAGGGCCTGCCAAATCAATGAGTTGCGTCTATCAATTTTTTTCTGATGGTTTTTGCTGTGGCTTCCATGACTTGTTAGTGCATTTCCATTTGCCCCACAAGGACATTTTGCCTATCATTTTTATTAAACCTCATCAGTTTGCTTACAGCTTGGTAATTATGAAGAGGCAATCATCAAGCAGAATGTGGCTATGCCAATATTAAGGTCAAAATCAGTCCAGATTCCAATATTCAAGAAATCTATCTATCTCTTTGTCTTTCTGAAGCATTTTTTTCACTTTTTCACTGTGGAAAACAGAACAAACAGAAAACATGAAAATCCTAGCAGTACAATTCAACATGTTATAGAAGATCAGAATAATAAAAGAGAGAGATTTAAATATCTTGATGACTTCAACCAATATTGCAGTGACAGTATCCAATGTATCAACTCAAGGTAATATATTTTTACTTTCCATCTGCATTTGTTCAGTAGAATATTCTGAGTTAAATATTTAGAAAAGCAAAAAAAGAAGAGAGATTTATCAGCTATTTCAAACCTAGGACAACTCTCACTTTTAATATCCCTACTATATAGGTTGTGACAATTGCTTCAACATTCTAAACCACTGTATTTAAATAACAACAATTTAAATTATCATTTAGTAATATTTAATAACACTACCAATAGATCCCGGGACCTCAATATACTATCTCAACATAAACTGGGACTAGAGGCTCATCCTTCATTCCTACTTATCATCGTAGTCTCCCACAACAACCCTGTGATGTTGGATGATAGCAGAGAAACTGAAATCACCAAGATGCCCAAGTACTGTTGGGCAGTGAAAGGAACGAAAGGTGAAAGGTCTTGAGAAAAAGGGGAGAAAATAAACATTGGGGTATCCAGAAGAGAAGAAGGAACTTCCGTTCTCACCTCAACTGCTGTTGCCACTCTTTTGCCCTCCTGCCTCCCCTCATGAGTCCCATCGGAGCATAAAAATGATATTAAATGTACAAGCTATAATCTTAGCTGCCCCAGTGATGGGATATTCTTTAAAAGGCACTTTTTTTTGTTCCATGGATTCACAATAATTGGATTTACTGTTGCTCAAAAAAATTGGTTGCTCTGAAAAAGATGTATCTAGGGAAAGGAGGACATATGACAACCTGAGAATATCCTAACAAAAGTAAATAAATATTGTCCTGTAATTGATGAGTCAAACAGTATGAATCTTTATGCTTTCAAGAGCTACAAAATATTCAAGCAAGATAGTAATTATTATTATTATTTAAAAAGGAAGACCTTCTCTCCATAGGATGGAAAGGGTGATAGGCAAGCAAGTACTGATGGAGTATCAATACACCAGAACTCAACCAGTTTTAGTGAAGATTTTTTTTTTGTCGTGTCAGGAGTTGCTCCTGTAGTGAGAGAATTGGCCATCTGCAAGGACGTTGCCCAGGGGATGCCCGGATGATTTGATGTTTTATCATCCTTGTGGGAGGCTTCTCTCATGTCCCCGCATGAGGAGCTGGAGCTGATAGAGGGAGCTCATCCGCCTCTCCCCCCCCTTTGCTGTTTTAAGATCCCCCGCCCTCTTTTCTAGCATATGAGCATATTGCAGATGTTGCATTACATCTGTTTACAACATTTCCCAATAAGTCCTCTAAGTTTTCCCCTGGTAGGTCCTGAAAGGCTTATGTCTGCTGGCAAAACACTGTGGTTATTTTTATTAAAATAATTAGTCATGGTGCCTGGGAAAATTAATGAAAAGCTTGAGCTTAGGATGTCTGTTAATGAGCTGTGGATCTTTTTCCTGTCACCTTCACAGCTTTGTAAGTTGTTTTAACCTTCAGACTTAAAAGTTAGGGCTCACCACTTCCCTCACATGAAACTTGATTTTTTTCCTGCTGAGTCTTTATAATACAGAATACAATTGTACTGTGAGCTGTAGCCTTTTTCTTTATGAGAATCATACTGTAGTATTTTTCCCATTAAAACTTTAAAAGAATGATGTGTTAATAGCATGATTGTCTCATTGTGAATTTTGGCAAATTTATTAAGACTTGGATTTCTTTCACACTACACATTTATAGCACTGTGATCCCTCATTAACCTCCACAACAACATCTTATAAAATTCTGGATTTTGTAGTTTAGAGAGGGACATTTAGAATTCCCAGCCAGGGATCTCCTCTAGTGCTACCCCAAACTACAAACCTCTGGATTTTATGGGATGATGCCATGGAAATTAAATAATGGTGGGAAATACTTAAATCGCTTAATTTGCATTCTTAGTTGTGCATCATGGCTCAGTTCCTCAGATGGAGCATCAGACTGGGGAAGGAAATGGAAATGTCATCTATAGCCCCAGGCCTGCCTGTTATCAGTATGACTGACAGACTCAGGCACTAGACCCAGCTTACATTGTGCATATGGGTCTATCAATATACAATAACTCAAGTGGCACCAGCATCCATTGAAAAACTCAAAAAGATACACAGAAAACACAGTGAAATCTGCTGAATGGCAGCCCTGACCTCAGTTATCCATGTTCTGATAACTTCCTGATTAGGCTATTGTAATGTATAATTTGTGAATGGTAGCCTAAAATTCGTACAGCAAGTAATTACAACTAAATGCTAAATCTTAAATGAGAACCAGCATGGTGTAGTGGTTTGAATATTAGCCTAGAAGTTCAGGTTCTAAATCCCTGTTCAGCTATGGAAATCTACTGAGTGACATTGGCAAATCATCTTTACCTTGTAGGAAAGCAATGACAAACCCCTCTGAAGAGATCCTGCCAAGAAAACCCTGTAAGCAGTGGAATTGACTTGTAGACCTAAAAAACAACAACAGCAAATACAATATAAAATGCATACACACAGCTCTCCCAGGGACAAAATTAAAACATTTTTAGCAGTTGACACAGAAAATGGGTACCTGATATAGTTGAAGGTCAAGTACTATGATGTTCTAAAGGTTTTACAGGCTGTGAAAAGGAGGACAACAATTTTGTTTTGTGCCTAGTTTCCCATCCCTTAGAATTATTTTCATCCACTCTGTCATACCAATTTTCATGATGTCCACCTCTATCATGTCTGATGGTAATGTTTTGACCTTCAAAATGATTATACAATCAAATTTCTAATTACAGAAACAGTCACATGATACTTCAACTTTTTATTTCAGCTAAGATCTTTGAATGTGCTACTTGAAAGTTTTCCTTAAGCTTTCTGATCATAGGGATTGGGAATCAAGTGGAACACATCAGAAAATAATGACCTGGGGCAAGCCTCAGTGGCAAGAAGGGATAGTTCTTTCATTTAAACTGTAAATCCAAAACCTCCATTATTAAGACCACATTTTTGTTGGCTCAAAGTCACTCTGTTGAATCATTGCACTCCTGCTTTAAGATGTAATAAACTTTAAGAACTGCTATTATTCTAAGTTTTGATTAATCCCAGATGGCCTGGTATGAGCATGTGTGTGTGTTGTGTACACGCATAGGGGGTTTTCAGCCATAAATACCTCTCTCTGTGTATAAAATAAGCTACAAGTAGAGATCCTGTGGATCTCCAAATGCTCTTGTTCATCCACCCCTCATCTTTGACCATTGGCGATATTGGCTAGGGCTCACAGGACTTGGAATTCAACATAATCAGGAGTTTGGTCTGGTTATCAATATATAATTACAGAAAGAAATAGCAATTTTATGAACTAAGGATTTTATTGCAAAAGGTAGGCAATCTGGCATTGAAGCAGGACCATCACTTTGATGGCAGTCTCTATCACATAATGTCATGTGCATCTCATTGCCAGTCTGCCTCCTCCCTATGATAAACCCATTCCCTGTTATTGTTGGGAAAACCCAGACAACAGAAGTAGAATGGTCATATCACACCAGAAATGTAATGGAAATATGGCACAACCTGCAGCTATTGATGAGAAAACCTATCAATGGCTGCAGGTTGTGCCATATTCCCATCACTTAGCTGGTGCAATGAGGCCATTCCGCTTCTGTTGACTGGAGCTCAAAGTATTTGAAGTTCGACATCATCTGAATGGCAACAGATTTACAGACTTTCAAGATTGAAATGATGTCCTGGGGCAATATTTTTATTTTAAGTTTTATTTGAAAAAAATTTAACATAGCTGAAATGGTGAAATTACTTAAAATAAAAGTAGGAGTGTGGGATCATGAATTGGCGATTCAGTTGAAATTGAGAGACATGCAATAGCGAAGGTACTCATGCTGACACTATTGGTGATAACATGATGCTCCTCAAAATAAAAAGTACACACTACCATATCTCCCTAATAACACACATGTAGTATTCCTATGGACAAAAAGAGTCAGTGTTTTATACCCAAACACAAAATATCCATTTAGAATTTAGCCTAAGGACTTTATCACAAAGGATTAGCTAAGTATCATGGCAAATCCATGGGCACCCAGCAGAGGGTTTGGGAACCCATTGCTCCATGCCCTGCATCTCCATTGCTGGTAAGGCAACACGGGAAGGCTTCTGTGTTGCCGCAGTGGCATATGCTGTTTGCTCTCCTCTTTCTGGATGGAGCGTGACCAAAAGTACACATGCATCGTATAATGGACTCCATCCTGAAAGGGGAGAACAAGCAGCGTATGATGGGGAAATTACCCCATTGGATGAGATAGTAAGAGGTTTTTTTGTGCTATATCCCAGAATTGCTCAGTCAGCATAAACATAACGATTGGGGGTGCTATTAACTGTACTCAAATAATGACAACAACCAACTTTTCTAAGTTCTGGTCTGTACTCATTCACAGAAAAGAATGCAGCTCAAGGTGCAGTTTTATGAGTGATTATCCTATTACATTGAAAATAAACAACCACATCAATCAAGCAAGTCACGTGAAAAAATTTTGAGTGGATGGGAAAGACCCTATATACCTTGGCCCTGCTCACATGGATGTTACGTTGATTTGCACTTCCTGGCATACCCAGCAGAGAAAAACAGCTCTACCTAAAGAAGTATCACCTTCAGAACAAGTTACCACCCTGCTGACTTTGCATTTACACTTGTGCATACTTTCTAACTTGACAAATCATAACACTTGTATGATCTGTTTTGCCTGGAGTGATTGCCACTTTGAGTGATTAATGTAGGGAAGATAATATAGGTAAAGAATCCAAGGTATGCACAGATGTGCATGCCCTTGGCTTGCAATTGATCAGTGTGGTGAAGTTTTGAACTCATATTCTGACCTGTTGTCCAGCCATGTTTAATCATCTGTGTTAACTTGATATATGAACTGTGCCAAAAAAGATTAAACATTTTATTAAAGATTGTACAACTCCAACTATATTGGTAATTGGTGCTTTTCTTTTATATATTACCTCAGAGCTTGCTTGAAGAGATGGAGTATTTCTCCCACTATTAAAAGCTTTTGAGAAAACCATTTAGGACCTCATC